CCAGACCTGAAGGGCAGCTCGGGACCATAGTCTCAGTGGTTCCACCAGGCGCTATCAGACCAGCAAACATGGTCCCCCCCCTCTTTTTTTTCCAAATGATTTTGAGTTTTGTTCCACATTGTTCTCCCTCTCTATCAGGATCTCCTACATAGATTCCCCTCTGAGTGGCTGACAGTGGTAGCCAGACACCATCTAGTTCTTCTGGTCTCATAGTCATATAGGCTGAGGATCACATGGTGTACCAGTCGCAAACACTAATTATTTCCATGAATCTTTTATTTTCTTCATTCTTCTTTGCTCTGGACGATAAAGCAGGTCTCTTGAAAGTTTAGCAACAAGTGGCCAAGTCAGGGAGGGGCATAGCTTACACCAGATGAGACCAGAGTACCCTCTGTGTATCAGTTCTCCATGTTTTCAATGCCCCTATCAGTCCCAATAACTGAGAGCTAAGTATTACTTGTAATACAAGCCACAACCCTAGAAACCTGAAAAATTATGATCATTCATGCAGAATAACCTTGATTGTTGTTATTATCAATGGCGTGTTCGTTACTACAAGTCATGGAAGGAGCCCTGGTGGTGCGGTGGTTAAGTGCTTGGCTGCTAGTCAAAAGGTGAGTGGGTGGAGCCCACCAGCCATTCTGAGAGAGAAAGATATGGCAATCTGCTTCTGTAAAGATTACAGCCTCGGAAACCCAATGGGGCATACTGCTCAGTCCCATAGGGTCACTATTAGTCAGAATAGATTCAACAGCTGTGGGCATGGTTTAGTAAATCATGGCTCCGAGGCTCAGATGCAAGTCTGGGATCTCCAGATCCCGGGGTTTTACCCATGATGGTGCAGGCTCGCCAGTACCCACCCATCTCACCCCTTCCGACATACCCTGCCTTCCTTCCCCCTCCCTATGTCTTCTTGATTTCCCTTCCACTCTTCTATCTCAAAACAGAGCCACCTGTTTGTTCAAAGCTCCAGATCATATATTTAAAATTAATGATTTCCTAATAAACTGTCATTACTATGTTGTTAGTTACTGAAATGTGCCATTAGGATTGGTTTTCTGTGCTGGAGACAGCTTCTAGGCAGTGAAACATCAAGTTTCAGGGAAAGACTCCAGCCCTGGAAATTTCTATGCCACCCCCACCCCCCTCCAGGGCCTGCCTTCCGCTATGGTTGACCTTTCTGGGCCCATTTCCTGCCTCCAGTTCTCCTGACTATGCCAACTGTGTCCAAATGGGGCCTGTTAGAGCATGTCCTCCTATCATAGTTGGGGGTCAGAAATGGTCTGGGGGAGAGCCAAATTATGCCAGGGCCAAGGAAAAGAGGTTCATCTGGGAATGGGCTGGAGTTGACAGCTGTTGCCACTGAGGCAGCTCATGCCCCCATCAAGAACAAGAACAGAACAGTGTTATGGTCAGAGCATGGGCTCTGGGGTCAGACTGCCTCTCTACCATATGTTGGCTGTGTGACCATAGGCAAGATGCCTGCCTTCTGATCCTCAGCTTCCCCCTCTATAAAATGGTAAGAGTAGATACCTAATGAGTTTGGAGAAGCATTAGGTGCAAGTCACTATGAAGAGGACTATCCCACTCCACTGTACAGGGCAGCCCTGAACCCTTCATGGTGTGCTAGAGCTGGCTGGTACTGGTTCATAAAAGCTGGCTGGGCATGTCTCTTTCCAGCTCCACATTCAGTGATGTCATGTTGGTAGCTTGAAATCAGCCATGGTGGGAGTGTGTACAGCACAGAAGTCAACAAACAGAGCTGCCCTCTCCTGCCTGGCCCAAAGAGTTAGTATTAAACATTTACCTAAGGATCACAATGGTCCAATCCCATTGTGCATGGGGGCCGACTCGACAGGAGCTAACAACGACAACCAAACATTCACCTCCACGTCATTGGCGCATATCCCATATCATTCTATATGGAATGGACACCTCACCCTCCTCCAAAGACTGTCCAGGCCCTTTCTCTCCTTTCCCTCTCACCAGCACAAGCTTGGCCACTTGCTTGCTATATAACCTTGGGCCAGTTGATTAACCTCTCAGACCCTCAATTTTCTCAGCTCCAAAGAAATGGCACAGGTCAAGGTCCTTTGTAACAGGTTAGTGAAACCACTGGGAACCATAGGGTTTTCCATCAGGGCAGGTTTTCCATCCCACTCTTAGGTTTCTCTGCAGCATTGCTGAGTGTCTAAATCCCCACTATTGGGGAGCCCCTAACACTTCCCCTACAACCACATCTTGACAAGAACCTGTGAGTTGGGGCCATCATCCATTTTATAGATGAGGAAACTGAGACATTACAGTGATTAAGAAACTTGCCCACTATTACTAACTAGTAAAGGGTAGAATTGGAATCAAACCCAGGTCTGTCTGACACCAAAGTTCAAGCTCTTTCATGTTTCCTGAAACTCAACTCAATAGAAGTCAGTTTTACTGGTATTTACTAAGCATCTACTATGTGACTTATATAGCTTGCTTTCAAGGAGTTTATGGCCTCACTGTAGAGACAAGCTACCCAAAAGGTAGCAAACCAAAACCAAACCCACTGCATGGGATGACAGAGAACAATGATAGAGATCCCAAAGTCTAGTGGAGACAATAGAGTTCATTGAAGGTACAAGGTAGTCAAGGGAGACTTCATCAAAGTGATGGGACTTGAGCCAGACCTTAAAGGATGGGCAGTAAGTTGTCATACTGCCCTAAAAAAAGAAAGGCTGAAAAACTAGACCTCTTCAGTCTGTAAAGATGAAGGCCAAGGGAGTGTGGTAGAAGTTTCTCCTGTCAGGACATAGTCATCAAACCCAGGAAGATAGAGTTGGCCTTTGGTCACACCAGCTCTCCACACTAGGTATGCTATCACTTGGCCCATCTTCTTTTCCAGCCTCATTCCTCACCATCTCCCAGCAATAGATTGCCCAATCTTCCTTCCAAGGAGTGGCTGGTGGGTTTGAACTGCCAGCCTTCTGGTTAGCGTCAAATGCCTTAGACTCTACCCTACCAGAGCTCCCAACTTCTTGTACTTCTCCCTATAAACGATGCTCGTTCAGACCGCCATGCCTTTCCTCACAC